CCTGGGCCTGGGCCTGGGCCTGGGCCTGGGCCTGGGCCTGGGCCTGGGCCTGGGCCTGGGCCTGGGCCTGGGCCTGGGCCTGGGCCTGGGCCCTGGGCCTGGGCCTGGGCCTGGGCCTGGGCCTGGGCCTGGGCCTGGGCCTGGGCCTGGGCCTGGGCCTGGGCCTGGGCCTGGGCCTGGGCCTGGGCCTGGGCCTGGGCCTGGGCCTGGGCCTGGGCCTGGGCCTGGGCCTGGGCCTGGGCCTGGGCCTGGGCCTGGGCCTGGGCCTGGGCCTGGGCCCTGGGCCTGGGCCTGGGCCTGGGCCTGGGCCTGGGCCTGGGCCTGGGCCTGGGCCTGGGCCTGGGCCCTGGGCCTGGGCCTGGGCCTGGGCCTGGGCCTGGGCCTGGGCCTGGGCCTGGGCCCTGGGCCCTGGGCCTGGGCCCTGGGCCTGGGCCTGGGCCTGGGCCCTGGGCCTGGGCCTGGGCCTGGGCCTGGGCCCTGGGCCCTGGGCCTGGGCCTGGGCCTGGGCCTGGGCCCTGGGCCTGGGCCTGGGCCTGGGCCTGGGCCTGGGCCTGGGCCTGGGCCTGGGCCTGGGCCTGGGCCTGGGCCCTGGGCCTGGGCCTGGGCCTGGGCCTGGGCCTGGGCCTGGGCCTGGGCCTGGGCCTGGGCCTGGGCCTGGGCCTGGGCCTGGGCCTGGGCCTGGGCCTGGGCCTGGGCCTGGGCCCTGGGCCCTGGGCCTGGGCCTGGGCCCTGGGCCTGGGCCTGGGCCTGGGCCTGGGCCTGGGCCTGGGCCTGGGCCTGGGCCTGGGCCTGGGCCTGGGCCTGGGCCTGGGCCTGGGCCTGGGCCTGGGCCTGGGCCCTGGGCCTGGGCCTGGGCCTGGGCCTGGGCCTGGGCCTGGGCCTGGGCCTGGGCCTGGGCCTGGGCCTGGGCCTGGGCCCTGGGCCTGGGCCTGGGCCTGGGCCTGGGCCTGGGCCTGGGCCTGGGCCTGGGCCTGGGCCTGGGCCTGGGCCTGGGCCTGGGCCTGGGCCTGGGCCTGGGCCTGGGCCTGGGCCTGGGCCTGGGCCTGGGCCCTGGGCCTGGGCCTGGGCCTGGGCCTGGGCCTGGGCCTGGGCCTGGGCCTGGGCCCTGGGCCTGGGCCTGGGCCTGGGCCCTGGGCCTGGGCCTGGGCCTGGGCCTGGGCCTGGGCCTGGGCCTGGGCCTGGGCCTGGGCCTGGGCCTGGGCCTGGGCCTGGGCCTGGGCCTGGGCCCTGGGCCTGGGCCTGGGCCCTGGGCCTGGGCCTGGGCCTGGGCCTGGGCCTGGGCCTGGGCCTGGGCCTGGGCCTGGGCCTGGGCCTGGGCCTGGGCCTGGGCCTGGGCCTGGGCCCTGGGCCTGGGCCTGGGCCCTGGGCCTGGGCCTGGGCCTGGGCCTGGGCCTGGGCCTGGGGCCTGGGCCTGGGCCTGGGCCGGGCCTGGGCCTGGGCCCTGGGCCTGGGCCCTGGGCCTGGGCCTGGGCCCTGGGCCCTGGGCCTGGGCCCTGGGCCTGGGCCTGGGCCCTGGGCCTGGACCTGGGCCCTGGGCCTGGGCCACGCCCGAACCCTAAACCCTAAACCCTAAACCCTAAAAACCCCTAAACCCTAAACCCTAAACCCTAAACCCTAAACCCTAAACCCTAAACCCTAAACCCTAAACCCTAAACCCTAAACCCTAAACCCTGAACCCTGAACCCTAAACCCTGAACCCTAAAACCAAAACCCAAAACCCTAAACCCTAAACCCTGAACCCTGAACCCTGAACCCTGAACCCTGAACCCTGAACCCTGAACCCTGAACCCTAAACCCTAAACCCTAAAACCAAAACCCTAAAACCCTAAACCCTAAACCCTGAACCCTGAACCCTGAACCCTGAACCCTAATTGAAACATTCCCAAATTGAAACATTCCCTTCAAGAGAGTGTTGTAAGTAGCAATGGAAGGAGCGAATGGAATCCCTAGAGTCTTCGGTAGCACAGGCGAGACAGCGACGGGTTCTCTGCCCCTGCGGGGATGGAGCGACAGAAGTTTTGAGAATTCAAGAGAAAGTCACGGCGAGACGAGCCGTTTATCATTACGATAGGTGTCAGTGGAAGTGCGGTGATGTATGCGGCTAAGGCATCCAAACAGGCCAGGTAGACTTGAACCTTGTTCTACATGACACGATCAATTCGATCGAGGCACGCGCCATCTATTTTCATTGCTCATTGTTCAAATCCTTGACAACATGAAAAAACCAAAAGCTCTGCCTCCTCTCTATCTAAGGGATGGAAGGGCAGAGGCCTTTGGTGTCCCTTACTGACCAAGAATTGGGACCTCATAATCACTAGCCAATATACTTTTCTCTCATGCCTTTCTTCGTTCATGGTTCGATATTACGGTGTCCTAGGCGTAGAGGAACCACAACAACCCATCCCGAACTTGGTGGTTAAACTCTCTGCGGTGGCGATCTTGTAGGGAGGTCCTGCGGAAAAATAGCTCGACGCCGGGATGATAAAAGCTTAAGACCTCTCATTCTTATTACTTTTCAATATATGAAAACGAAAAATGAAAAATCAAAAGGTCGTCTTATTCAAAACCACAATTATGACATCCCCTCTCCCACTTCACACCTCGAACACACCCTTCTTATAGTTATAGAGATAAACGTGCTTTCACATCTTCTTAACCCGAAGCAGTGGGCAGAGGAAAAGATCCTTTTCTTGAGGGCACTCCCGCGAACGGAACCGGTGGAGACGCGGTGGGGTCTGTAGCTCGGAGGATTAGAGCACGTGGCTACGAACCACGGTGTCGGGGTTCGAATCCTCTCGCCCATAACCGGCCCAAACAAAGGGAAGTACCTTTCCCTGGGGTCGAATGATGGGATAGCGGACCAAAAGTTATGGAACTTGGGTGTCGGTCTTTTGTCGAAATGGAATTTCTTTTTATTTTGTGAATGGCGGAACCATTACACATAGTATGCCCGGCGCCATCATCCTATTTTTTGTTTTACGTTAGTAAATCTTCCTCGGCCAGGCTTGGGCAGAATAGCGAGCAAGTACAAGTCTTGGTAGGATAACAAAAAGCCATCCTCGTCATTATTATCTCGCGACAATTGGGACCCTCGGGAGAATCGATGATGCATCTTTGATGCGGTGCTAGTACTAGTACATCGAGAATTCTTAATTGGCTAGTTGTAAATAGCCGGGCTATGGAACAAAGGATTATCCGAAACTACACCGAGGTATTGACGATGATTTTCAAATATCGCGAGAATGTTATACGATGAGATAAAGTGCAAAGACAGAGGAGCGGGTTACCTACTCTTAGTAGTCAAAGCGAGCCCCCTTTTTTGATTACGAATTAAAGTTAAAGAATTCAGAATGAATCAAATCTCCCAAGTAGGATTCGAACCTACGACCAATCGATTAACAGTGACCGCTCTACCACCGAGCTGCGAGGAACAATGGTAGATTATATCTCATAGAATTCAATTCTGTTCTCAACCCATGAACAATATCGGCTAGAAGCTTCCTTCGTAACCCGGAACTTCTTCAGAGTAGCTACCTTCCATGCCTCATTTTAGAGAGAACCTCAAAGTGGCTCTATTTCATTATATTCCACCCATATCCCAATTCAATTCATGTAATATCCCTTTGGTGTCATTGACATAAGAGATGTCGTTTTTAGTCTATATTTCTTTTCTATATATGTATATGGAAAGTTAAAAAATCATCATATAATAATCCAGAAATTGCAATAGAAAAGAAATAAGGGAGGTTTGTGATGATTTTTCAATCTTTTCTACTAGGTAATTTAGTATCCTTATGCATGAAGATAATCAATTCGGTCGTTGTGGTCGGACTCTATTATGGATTTCTGACCACATTCTCCATAGGGCCCTCTTATCTCTTCCTTCTCCGCTCGGGTTATGGAAGAAGGAACCGAGAAGAAGGTATCGGCAACAACTGGTTTTATTACGGGATGACTCATGATGCTCATATCGATCTATTATGCGCCTCTGCATCTAGCATTGGGTAGACCTCATACAATAAGCTGTCCTAGCTCTACCATATCTTTTGTTTCATTTCTTCGGAACAATCACAAACACTTTTTGATTATGGATCTACTAACAAAAATTTAATGCGTAATCTCGGCATTCAATGTGTATTCTGAATAATCTCATTTTTCAATTATTCAACTATTTCATTTTACCAAGTTCAATGTTAGCCAGGTTAGTCAACATTTATATGTTTCGATGCAACAACAAGATGTTATTTCTAACAAGTAGTTTTGTTGGTTGGTTAATTGGTCACATTTTATTCATGAAATGGCTTGGATTGGTATTAGTCTGGATACAGCAAAATCATTCTATTAGATCGAATGTACTTATTCGATCTAATAAGTACCTTAATGTCGAATTGAGAAATTTTATAGATCGGATCTTTAGTATTCTCTTATTTATTACCTGTATCTACTATTTAGGAAGAATGCCGTCCCCAATTCTTACTAAGAAACTGAAAGAAACCTCACAAGCGGAAGAAGGGGTGGAAAGTGAAGAAGAAAGGGATGTAGATGATGAAATAGTTAAAAATACCCTAATATAAAAATTAAAAAAATAGATACATACAATAGATAGAAGAAAAGATAAGAAGAAATGCGCCCGCCACCTAAATATTTAATGGCTTCCCCTACAAAGAAAGTAATAACACCAAATCCGTTCGTAATTCCATCAATTACACGCCGATCAAAAAAATGAATAAATTCTGCCGATTTTCTTATTCCTCCAGTTAAAGACATTGTATAAAAGGAATCTATGTAAGCACGATTATAGGACCAATAATATATGGCATTTATAATTTTGTCCCAAAAAGGTCTCTTAGGACCACTTTTTATTTTCAAAACTGAATTAATTAAATCTAAATTTAGTAAAGAGGAATAGGATGTTTTATATAAAAAAGATGCTATAAAGATTCCTAAAGAAGCTATACTGACTGAAAAAAAAAAAAAAAGCATTGTTGAAAAATTCGTAC